CCTTAACTCCTTTGCCAGCTGAGAAAAAGTAGATACCATCCCTTCTGTATTTGGACTTTGGATTAACATTGGAGCTGGTAGAGACCAAACAAGAAGCAAAATTTCTAAAAGCTTGGTATGTATCTTATATGCTGTCATTAAGCTGTACTAGGAGTTTATGAATCTTGTCATGTGCATATTTATTAATATTTTATATTCTTAACGGTATAGGTAAGAAAAAATAGCTGTAACTGTCCCAAGCCACCTGTTTCTAAGAATATATTATTTTCATTTTATGCCAACAGCGCTTCTGAAAGGGCTGTGGGGGTGTACGTTTTTCAGAGGCTTTATAAGCCTTTTGCCTGCAGCCATTTCCCACATCTGCGCCAAGTCTTTGGCAGTTGCTGGCTGTGATTATGCTACGGAAGTACTTGCACTTCTATGGCAGCAAAGCAAACACAGTTCTCTTCTTTATTTAATTCATTTATTTAATTCATTAATATTATTTGAACTTTGCTGGGAATTTGGGAAGGGATTTCTTTACCTGTGTGGGTATCTCAGTTAGGCTACTTCTTTTTGGAGGCTTGTGTTCAGGCAGGGTGGGTGAGAGTTGGGGGGGCAGATTTTGTGTGTGACTGTGGACTCCTTTCCCCAAAAAATATATTTCCTGAGTGCTTGAATGTCTGGTTCTTCTGAGGGTGTTTGTGCTTCTCTAGCCTATATGCTGAGAAAGCACATTTGATTAAAATAGATTTATTCTTATTTCATTTAGTGGGAGTCTTGGGAGGGCTTAGTTTAAAAATTAGTGATTTTTGGAGGCTTGTGTTCAGGCAGGGTGGGTGATCTCGGGAAGGGGGGAATTTTATGCGGGGCTGTGGAATCCCTTTCTCCAAAAATTTATTTCCAGAGTGCTTGAGTGTCTTCTGAGTGCATGTGTGTTTCTCCAGCCTATGTGCTGAGAAAGCACATTCAATTTAAAATAAATGTATTCTTTATAAATTGTATCATTTTCATTAGTGAGAGACTGAGGAGGGCTTTGTTTAGGCAGGTCACATTTTAGTTAAAGAATTAGTTCTTTTTAGAGGGTTGCGTTCAGGCAGGGTGGGTGGATCTTGTGGGGGGGGAGTGCTCTCTCTGTGTGTGGGCAGTGTGTTTCTTTTAGTTATTTAATTCTCCCCCCCCCCATCATTTAAAAAAGAAAATTTATTACAGCCTCTAACTTTTTCTGTCATCCCTCTTAGTTTTTCCCTTCCCATCCCATTTATTTGTTTAGTGGTTTGGCAGGCAGGGATATAGGGCAGGGGAAAACGAAGGGCAGTGTCCACCAAGAAGAAGCCTGTGAAGCTGCGTAGGCAGTGGCACCACTGCCACTGCTCCTCCTCCAGTGGCCTTGCAGGTGGGTGTGGAAACAGAGCTTCCAACAGAGCCCAAAGAACTGTCACTCCCCTTCCTAGAGGAATCTGAGTTGCTGGTTCCTGAAGATCCAGAAACCTCCCAGTGTTCCGAACCAGTAATGGCAGGGCTTCAAAGCCACCACCACCACCACCACCCAGCCCAAAGAACTGCCACTCCTCTTTCTGGAGGAATCTGAGGAGTTGCTGGTTCCTGAAGATCCAGAAACCTCCCAGTCTTCTGAACCAGTAATGGCAGGGCTTCACACACACCCCATTCCCAGCGTCATCTCTTCCCTCTTTCCAGACCAGCAGCACCACTGGCACACAGTCTTCTTCCTAGGCCAGCAGCAGTCAGGGGCAGTCGTTTTGGGTTGTCGTTTTGCAATGCATGCAATGCCTGCCTTGTGGTGGCCTGGATGGGATCAGACCCCAGGCATCTGTCCTCTACTACCCTCCGCCAACATCTGGAGAGGCACCACCCAAGGCTCCTGTCTGGGGAAGGCTGTTTGTCGCTGCCATCTGGGATAGAGAGGAGAGCAGCTCCATGGGAAGAAGTGGGGTGGCAGAAGGAAGTGCCTCTTTCCAAAAAGGCAGCCACGGGGGTTGCCGGGACTGGGAGAATGAGGCAGGCCACGCTCCATGAAGTTGCACCCATTGGGTCTGCAATGACCCTCAACCAGAGATTGAAGATCAAGGCATAAGAGGCGGCTGCTTGTCTTGTCACCAAGATGATTGCCCTGCTTGGACTGCCCTGCCCGGACTTCCCTGCTCAGAATCCTTGGCCTTCCGCTGGTTGCTGCACTTTTTTACCCCCCTGGTACAACCCCCCCCCCATGGAGAACCCTCAGTTCTAGAGTGCTGCTCTATGACTCCGTGAAGGAGGTGGTCCATGACCAGCTTTCACATGCACCGGGGCATAAGGTGCACTTCACAGCGGACCTGTGGAGGTCAAAATGACTACCTCTCATTCATAGTCCACTGGTGGCAACCAGAGGACCTTAGGAGTGGCAGAGCATTGGTAACAGGGCTGCAGGGGGAGGTCCTTGTCCTATCCCCAGGCTGCAGCTCCATTCTGCTGCAGGCACGGCACATGGAGGCTCAGGTGATGGAGAGGAACATTGGTGATGAGTTCCTGTCTGCTCTGCAGCAGTGGGCACCAGAGGGGGAGGTCATCCATGGCCACATAGTCACAGATGCAGGGCGGAACATGTTGGCAGCATTGAATGCAGCAGGCTTTGAGGGCTTTGTGTACATGGTGCACAAATTACATCTAGTAGTGTGCAGTACCATTGGCCTGGGCAGCCATGTCAAGCCCAGGTGGGACACAGGCACCAGGGAGAAGATGTGGACACTCCTGGACCAATGCTGCCAACTAGTGGGCCTTCTGGCTCTGTGAGAGGCAGGAGGAGTTGGGTCAGGAGACACACGTTTTCCTGATGGACCTGCCAACCAGGTAGGACTCTACCTGCATCATGGTGGAGCAGAAGGCCATTTTGGAGGACATCATGTCCTCCATGCCCATTCTGTCCAGGTGAAAAGAGGTGGGCATCAGTGCCATGGATTGACTGGTCCTCTCCCAGATGATGGAGGTGCTCAAGCCCTTCCAGGAAACAACTGATATCTTGTGTGGCTACACAGCAAGCCTGGGGCAGATTATCCTCCTGATTCATGCCCTCAATTGGTCCCCGGAGTCTGCTATGGTGCCGGGATCCTCCCTCCTTCCATGGACCAGGGCTTGGGTGAAGAGGTTGCAGGCAGGCATGTGGAAGTGACTCCATCCTGTCTGCAGGGACAGAGCTTACTGCATGGCTTGCCTCAAAATCAAGTGCAGCTTGGCAGCACATGCCTTAGACCTTGAGGAGAACACAGCTCTCCACTGAGGTCTGCGGGGTGTTGGGTACACAACACTTACGTGGGGAGTCGGCGATACCCGAGCACAAGACAGAGGAGGGTGAGGGGGGTTTGCAGGAGACACAGGCATGGACTTTTGCTGATGAGGGCCCCAGTCTTCATTACTGGAGCTCTGTGGTGATCTGGGCAGTTGCTGCAGAGGAAAGACAGGCAGCAGAGGAGGACCCAGCAGACAATGGTGTGGGAGCATTTTGCTCAGCCCCTCCCCCGGGTCAGATCCCCTCCATTTCTGGGCCAGGAAAGTGGTCGTATGGCCAGAGTTGTCCAATGTGGCCATGAACCTCCTTTCCATTCCCCACCACCACCACGAGTGTCCAGAGCAAGCATGTGTTCTCCCATCTTGGAGACATGCTCCAACCATTTGGATTTTGTAAGCGTGGAGAGACTGTCATTCGTCAAGGTGAACCTTTCCTTCTTGGGATTTCCCTCCTTGAAACCGAAGAGGTAGGGTAGCAATGAAATTCTCTCTGCTACCACACCGCCTGCCTGCCTGCCTGAGGCCCAATAGTTCACTATACCATCTGCCTGCCCATCTGCCTCCCTGCTTGCCTGCCCACCTGTCAGCTTGCCTGTTCAGCTCCTGCCCACCTGCCTGGCAGCCTTCCCAGGCCAAAACCTGCACTCAAAGCCGATTTCTGGCTTCCTTGTGCCAAATTCTGAAGTCCAACAGCCTATTTCTGGCCTCCTCAGACCAAAACCTGTTCTCAACACCACCAATATAAAAGAGAAGCCTGCTCACCCCAATGTCCCTCCCCATGCTATCTCAAGAAGAACCACATTGGTACCTGAGGTGCCTGAATCCTACGTCTTCAGAGATCTTCTCTGCCAGCCAGAAACCATCAGCCACTCAAACACTGTCAAAGCCTCATCTATGCCCTCATCAAATGTTACCTTGATGCCAAATGCATCTGATGCTGCCTGGAGAAAACCCTGCCAAGATGTCAAAAACTTCTGATGCTGCTTGGAGCAAACTCCACTTCGATGCCAAACACCTCTGATACTGCTTGGAACAAATCCTGCCAAGATGCCACACACCTCTGATCCTGCTGGGGGCAAACGCTGCCTCAATGCCAATGTCTCAGTTCCTGCGGGGAGCAAACACAAGCTCAACGCCAATCATCTCAGTGCCTGCTGGTGGCCTTTGCTGCCAAAATACCAAATATATCAGTGCCTCCATGCCAAAGGCCTCTGATTCTGCTGGGGCCAAACTATACTACCTCAGCGGCATCCACTTCTGTGGCAAACTTTGCCAGCTGGCTCTCACTTTCCTGGGGGGGAGGGAGAGCACTTTGTGGGTCAATAACTCAGATGTCCGAAATCCAATCTTACCATCTTGGGGAGCCTTTAGCGAAAAGACATAGGAAGCTTCTGTGTAACTTCAGGTTCTCTAAACCCCTGGGGAGAATTTTTCTAGGGGTGTCCTCCTTGTGGCTATGCAACTCAGAGGTCCAAAGCCCAAACTTCACCAAACTTTCAGGGCTTGTAGAAAACCGTCAGAGGACGCATCCCTGCCAATTTGGTGTCTCTAGGTGCCGGTGAGGCATTTTATAACGTTTTAAAGTGAAGATAAATCGGTGATCATTTTTAAATTCATCCCCATCTCTAGTTCCCACACGTTCTAGTTAACAGGCAAACTCTCGAAAAGGGGTTTCAGCTTGCCCGGCATCATTCAGAGAGGGGTCGCTAGAGGGCGCTATGGCAACGGCGTCTCGGCGGCATCGCAGGCAATGCTGGCAACTCTGCGCGCCCCTGCGATCGGGGTGAAGGGGTCGCTCAAAAGACCCTGGCTCCGGGACAAATGCAGGATTCCGACGTGAGGCTCCGTCGCTGCGCCTTTCCCGTTCGCTTCCTGCCCTAGGCTTGAGCCGGGATCTCCCGGAGAGGCGCGCTTGCGACTCCCGCCCCGCTCCCGCTGCCTTCCCGCCCAGCCACCCCGCTTCGCTCCGGGGGTGAATGCTTCCAACTCCGGCTTCGGGGAGCGCCTCGTCCTCTTTCTGATCGCGAAGGGCGCCGGGATCGCAGCGTGTAAGGGGAGAAGGAGAGCGAGCGAGCGAGCGGGGCGCCGGCTGAAAGCAAACCCCGAGCGATGGCTGGGGCTCCTTGGCAGGGCAAGTCGCGTGGATTTAAAGTGCTGGTGGCGACGCTGTCGGTGGCTTGGGTGTACTCCTATAACCTCGATCTGGACCACCCGGTGATTTTTCAAGGGCCCAATAACTCTTTCTTCGGATACTCCGTGCTGCAGCACTACAACGATAATACGAGGTGGTGAGTAGTCGGGTCGGAAGGGGCGCGCCCCCCCCGCCTGCCTCCGCATGGAGGCTCCCCC